CAATTTCTGGAAATGAAAGAACTATTAACTGTCATTTGTTCACAGCACTGCTTTTGGTTTATGAATCTATATATTTATGTTCCTGCATGACTGTGGTAGGGATGCACATTTGGCTCTCCTGTAGGGACCATTTAAATAACCGCTACTGAAAGTAGCTCTCACATGAATAGTTTCAGAGATATTATGAGAACTTTGGCAGTTTCTAACATAACAATTGTCCTGTTGCTGCTTCAGTATTAACCCCACACTACCTCTCTCTGAGTGGATGCTCTACCACTGATCACCAGCAGATGGAGGTATATGCCAGTGTAGTGTTGCCTTGTAATGAAAGGTTCTGCTTTTGGAGCAAAAATGAAATTATCAAACCTTCAAGAATTGCACTGTATGTTTGTACATAACACATTTAAAGTGGTTTCAAATAAGAACAATTTGAAGTCACTTATTATATGATGACCTTGATCTACAGGAAAGTAACACATTAAATGTCTGGAGAATAATGAGATGCTGACTTTAACGATTGCTCACAAGTTCCCTGGTCAAAAATAAACCTAAATACCACAACAAAGAAGCTGGTGTGAATTGACAGAGACCCAAGATATGGAGACTTTGGCAACAACTAACATTAAGATGAGCTGTTTGTCTGACTGCAAAAATATCTCTACTTGAGACCTGCTGCACCTGTTAAACCATCAGACTTGTGCAGACGCAAGTGACAAGAAGTTGTGCTGTAATTCATATGTCTTTCACGTGGATATTCTTCACTGTTCTTTGGTATTTTCTATTTGTTGTTGGTGTAAATATATTGTGTTCTTCTCCATATTTTCTAAACAGTTGATTTAATTTCAGAACAAAGCGTGAAAATTAGCACATTCTAATAACTATGGTATGCAGCACTTATATATTCAGTAAATATACTATCATGTGTATTTATCCCACATTATAAAATAATATTGTATATAATATATTAAAACACTGCACAGTTTCAGGATGAGGTCACAGACATCTTTGGCAGTCCAGTGGTTTTAATATGCTCTTAGGTTCTTTTTTGCTAAAATAATTTTCTAGCAATGAAGTATGGTTCTTCAACATCTAATATCAAAGGAAGAGGTCGTAATATAACATTTTCAGAGAAGCAGAGATTTTTTATGTAAAGTTTTTTTTTTGGTAAAGTTTGATCAGATCAATTATCAATAGAGAAACCTAACAAATCCCAAGTGTCCTTTGGATTCCCTTTGAGCAAGAACTTCACAACAGTAGGGAGGAAAAAACCTCCCTGTTAGCGGGAAAGAAAGATGAAACCTCCAGTAGAACCAGGCTCAGGGAGGGTGGCCATCTGCCTCAACCGGTTGGGGTGAAATAAAATTCTTACCAGATTTTGTGATGCAGGCTGCAAGGTGGTTGGTGGTTAGCATCGTTGCCTCACAACTAGAAGGTCGCCGGTTTGCATCCTGATGAAGACACCTGGGATCTTTCTACGTGGAGTTTGCATGTTCTCTCCCCATGCAGGTGCAGCGTGGATTCTCTCCGGGTTCTCCAGCTTCCTCCCACATTCCAAAAACATGTTGAGGTTCGCCGATGATTTCGTAGGTGTGAATGTGAGTGTGCTTGGTTGTCTGTCTCTAAGTGTAGCCCTGTGATAGACTGGTGACCTGTCCAGGTGTCCCCTGCCTTCACCCTGAGTCAGCTAGGACAGGCTCCAGCCCCCAAGACCCTAGTAAGGATTAAACGATGTACAGATAATGGATGGATTTCTGGATTTTGTGATGCCCCCTCCAGGTGAAAACATCAAGCCACAGCCTACATGATAGTAGAAGTCAAGAGCTTTGTATAAATGCTGGTCCCATGATTCTACTCCCTTTCATTGTTGAATTAGAAGCTTTAAAAGATGCACCAAAGTCAAAGTTCAACTGTCAATATCTCTGAGCAAGAGCAACTTCGAACTTACAGACTGACATAATCTTACTCCCCTGATCAAGTCCTTTCCAATGATGTATCATGTTTAGTCTGATTTTCACCCACCTGGACCCGGCCCTGTGTCAGGGGTACTTTTCCAGGAAAAGTGTGAATTGGATAAAAATAAATTGCAATAATTTTGGTAAATATTGTGGGCAAATTCGTCAATGACAGATTTGTTTTGACTTACTGGAACCCATGGGTGTCATTTTTGGCCTCGTTACAGATACGCAACTCTGTTCAGAGTTGCTTGGATTTAACTCCCCAGATTGACACCTACTCTTTTGAGGAACTAGCTCTCACATAGTTGAATTAGACTCAACAAGTGTTAAATTAACACTGTATTTTTAACATACAACACCAACACTGGAAATCTAACAGTTTTGATTTTGCTGTCCTTTTAACCAGTTTTTAACTATAGTTAAAAACTGGTTAAAAGGACGACATCCCACAAGGGGGTTCAGAGAGAAGCTGAAGAGAAAATTAAGGACAAAAATAGATTAACATATATAGTAGTTACTCCATGGCCTCTAATTTACCATAAATACATTATTATGTTATATGCACTCTCTAGAAGCCATACACATATATGTACAAGCAAAGACCAATTTCTGTTGTAGTTACCCTTTGCTTTTTCTTATTAAAATCAGATTAAATGGTAAAAATTTAATTTCACCTATATATATAAATTTCATCTGTAAATTCAGTCCAAAAAAACGTGTTCCTCAACAACTTAAACCCCTAAATGCACTCAAAGCTTTATATTTCACCCTCCATTTAGGAGAAATGGCTATGTTGAAGAAAGAACTACAAATTCCAGTAGCATTACAATACAATGTGATTGGATATGCCATGAAATATGTAGTTCTTCTTGCGGTTTACAACTAGGGTTGTGTTTTTGTATTAATAAACTAAAATGAACGGATTGAAGTACTGATGTTGAAGAAATTTTACTCATAGTCCTCATGTGAAGTTTGCTGTAGTGGGTGTTTATTAGTATTCCGGTATACGGTGGGCCCACCAACACAGAGCATGAGTCTGTGAAGGTGGACCGACCCTGAACATCTGCAGAGTCACACATTTATACTGTAAGTCAGAGGGTAGGGGGGGCCTGTATGTAAATACAGAGGTGAATAGAGGTAAATTAACATACAGTTGCTAATCAAATGACCGGAGGTAAGGGGGGACAATGAATCACAGGTGATGAAATGGGAGTCTGGTGACCAGACGGGTGGTGGAGTCAGGGTTCTGATAGCATACATTTGCTAATCAAATGGCAGGAGGTAAGGGGACAATGAACAACAGGGGGTGGAATCGGGGGTCTGTGGCAGGAGGTAGGAAAACACATGACAAAGGGTGATGGGAAAACACATGGCAACAGGGAATGAATTCAGGGGTCTTTGACCATCAAAATAAAAGAAAATGACTTTCTTCATCACTGACAAATGTGCTACTGTTAAAGTATAGTAGGTGTAGTATGAAATAAGTCTTGATTTGGTGCGCTCGCTCACCCATAACATTGTGTTGCATGTACTTTTTACATAACCATAACTTGCTCAATTTTCTACCGATTTTCAAACGGTTTGGTTTGTTATAAACGTCAGAGGTGTAGTTATAACACTGCACTTATGGATAATTATGTTACACTCTCACAGCCAGCAACAATTCGTATTTTAATTTTCAATTAAATTTCAATTTGTATTTTTGTAATTTGAATTGTAGCCATGTTAATAACGTTTGTATGAAACCAAACCGTTTGTAAATCCAGCAAGATTTCAGTGAGATAAGAGTATTTACGTTTGTGCAGATCACTCACCTTCCTTCACGTACCACAGGTTCCGCCAGAGAGTTGCCCCGAATCAAGATGGCCAAAGGGTGATCCTGGTCAAAATGCCGCCTTAGCCTTTATTTTACATATCTTTGAGGCTAGTAGCTAATGTAGCCAGTCTTGACAACTAGCTAAAAACTGCACAAAGCTACAGATAATATTTCTTTTTTTAATTTTAATTTTTCCTTTATTTAACCAGGTGGGTTAATTGAGAACAGATTCTCATTTACAATAACGACCTGGCCAAGAGGCAGCACAGAGCAGAAAATAATATCCACTGCTGTGATCACAGTCCATCTTCCAGTCAATGTGCTGTTAGAAAATAGCATATTCCACCAAAGTGCAAAGGTGTTCAGTGAAGAGCTGGGTCTTTAGTCTTTTCTGACTGACAGGGAATCAGCAGATTTTACCCCTAGTGTCACAGGCAAATAATAACCTTCCAAGTTTTAGTTCTGTTTAAATCAGAACCACCAGTGTTTGTACAACAACAACTCAGAGAAACAAACAAATACAGCATTAAAATTTATTATGCTTATTCAGTTTTTAATGACCGATCCAATTTTTTAGGATGGTGTTTTGTTTTATTTGTTCAAGCTTTTCTTCCTTTCTTTTCTTCTATTTGAATTTGTTCTTGTTTTTTCAGGGGACAATTTAGAGTATCCAATTAGCCTAAGGTTTGTGTTTTTGTGTTGTGAGAGGAAACCGGAGTACCCGGAGAAAACTCACGCAAACACGGGGAGAACACAGAACTCCACACAGAAAACAGCCCACGAGAAGGAATGTAGGTGTTTTTGAGAGGCTGCAGTGCTAATCACTGAGCCACCGTGCTGCCCATAAAGAAAGAGGGAGTGAGGAATAGAAGGGTGAGAGGTGGGGGGAGGACAGAGATAAGGGAGACAGAGAAGGGTGAGGGGTGAGGTTAGGGACACCTACATATTTACTTACATATGCAGGTGTGGAAGGCCCTGATAATTGTTCTCATGAAACGCCCAAAGCAGCTGATATTGTCCATGTTGGTTTCTTCTGCTAGGTTCGTTTCAAGAGAGTGCTGACATGATGTGGCTGAAAGAGAGGGGGTTGGACATAGACCCTCATCCTCCAGATGCCACATGTCAATAATGAAGTCGTCAGGTCGAATGACGGCGTCTGGACAGGCCCCATCCAATGTGGCAGCTTGGGAGGAAGTTGAACATAGAAGTTTGTCTTCTATGCACAGCATTTGACCGAGGTCATCGTCTACTTGCGTCATGTCAATGCTGAATTCTTCAGGTTGGATGGTAATCTTTCCATGGTCCACCCATGACATGGCAGACAGGGATGGACCAGGACTTTGGTCCTTAAAGTCTATGCGTTCTTCCCATGATACAGCAGACTGGCAGGGAGCTGGACTTTGTTCATTGA